GTGGTTTTAATTGTGACTCCACAATTTGAGAAACTTGGCTGCCAGGGCCTAACAGGCCTATAGTGTACCCTTTCTCCCACAATCAGAGAAAACGGTACATATAACTTAGGGGATGCCATTCCTTGAGCTGCTGGTCTTTGCTGATGACTCTAGAGCACTTGCCTCTGCTTTCCAGATCTCTTTGAACCACATCAACTATTATTGGAATCCTTGCCCCACAGTGGCACCCCACATGAGCCATGTCCTCTGGGGAGGTAGGTGCTGGTAGCACTCTACCTATCTGCACTCATAGACAGGGTTACCATAGTGCCTGAAGCATACCAGGGTCACATGCTGATAGACTTATGGGTGAGATGCAAGCCTGTGTGTCAAGACCAAACTCCTCCAGCTGTTGTGTTCCTGACCTCACCACATGATTATTTTGAGGCCCCCAGTTCCACATACCCATTTGATATCTCAGTGTTCCCAACCTATACACCTCCTGTTGGTGTCTCCATCAGTAACATCCTGTTCCCTGCCTGTCCTGGCTCTGAATAGATTGAAAGTAGAGCAAAGAAGAAGCCTGAGTGTTGAGGATGCCTCCTTGATGGCAAAGGGAGCCACCTTTAGGGATGTGCTCAGTGTCCAGGACTGGTCCCAGAGGTAGGCCAAGCCCAGCCTGATCATGGCTGTGCAGGGCCAGGTCCAGAGAGCAGAGAACCTTTTGTTTTCCCCATTTTTCAATAGCAGAGTTTTCCAGTATGGTTTTCCTTTGCCTCTTCTTACCCCTTCCCCCTTATTGGTCCACTTGCTATCATGGACAGTGATGATTCAGATTTCCTATGCACTTACTGCCAGGCTGGGTGCCCTGCCTGTACTTACTCTTTTACACACCATGGTGACTGTTCTACTGTCACCTCGACCATTCAGGCACAGAGGTGGGGTGGGAATTCTCTGTTTGAAGGTAAGTGAGGTGCTGTTTGGGGCTGATATGAGCTTTGGACAGCTGCTGCTGGACACCAGGTCTCTGTGGGTTTGGCTCTAGTTGGGTTTTTCTGCTGGAAACTTGTGGCACAGAAATGTCTGCCACATGCTTCTCCAGCTCTGGCTAGAACCCTGGGACTCACATTTAAGAATTCTTGATTATATCACCATTGAAGCACAGATGTGGTTTTGCAGATATGTTGTTTTCTTTTAAGTTATTCTTAAAAATGTTTTTATTTTACCTGGCTAATATAATTTTCTTGGGGGCTTTACTCTTTGATCTGGACTGGAAAAAAAAATGTTACCATTTTAAGACAGGTCTTTGGATTTACTGTCTGTGCACATGGAAATTCAGATAATAGTTCTTTTCTTAACTAAAGAAAACCGGAAAAGAAAATAAATTTCTTGCTACTTGGAATAATAAACATGGTGAAGTATATGTGGTATATCCTGGCAACAGAAATTCAAGGTCGGAAATAATTTCTTTCCTCCTGAGTCTGCCTTTGGCTTCCCTGAGGAGTGCAACGGCTGAAATTTGCTACTAATTGTAGCCATAATTTTAGCATGCAATTAAACACATGATTTCCTTTCCAGCTGATATCTTTTTAGCTAGTCTGACATGGATAAAACAACGGCTGTGTAGATTTTGAACTGCCACTTTAATCTGATAGGAGGGCAAGGGAAGTCACCATTATTTGAGCATGTTCCACTACCCAGGAACTAGATTAATCTTGCCTGTAAAAATGGTGAACAGCTTGGGTGCTTCTAATACAGTTTCCAGTGCTATTGTCTGTGGGCTAAAGAAACTAACAGTTGGTGTGGCATTTTGCTAAGCTCCTCCGTGAGGCTAAGGCTCATTGGTGGGAGTGATACCAGGTGGGGGAGAATCAGAGGTTGAAATTGGGTGGTATGGTGGTAGCCACAGAGGCTTATGGAGGTCACCTCACACTGTGGGGTTCTGGTGTTCGAGATTCCAGAGTAGAGCCTCTGTCCAAGGAGGGAGTCAGAGGGGCTTCGGGGGTCTAAGCTGGCTTGACCTGGGCTGGGTATCCATTCACTGCTTTTGTCCTCCTTGTCTTCTCCCAGAAGGGAGTCTGTACTGCAAAGGATGTTCTATGTGATAGACAAGTTCCCTGCCTAGGAGAGTTTGGGGATCACCAGAGTAAAGAACCTAAAAAGTTTCCATCCTCACAGATGTCTTAAGTTTGTTATGTACTAATATGCATTGTGATTCTCCAAACATTCTTTATTTAAGGAAAACAGGACAGCACACAGTTCAGGAAACATTGTCTAGTTGTGTGCAGTCTGTTGACCTTTTGTAATTGTAACAGCAAACACTGATTTTGCACACACCATTGCTAGCTACCATCCCAGGCTTATGCATGCATGTCCCATTGAATTTTCACCAATAGTGAAAATTAGGTATTCTTGTTAGTATCCCTGTGATGCAGTCAAGAAACGGAGCCATTGGGTGACTAAGAAACTTGTCTGAGGTCTCAGAACTAGTTTGGGGCTGGTCTTAGCCTTCTCTGTCAGCCGCAGTCCTTGTTGCCCTTCACCCTGTGTAGCCTTCTGCAAGAAATCTTTCTGATTTCCTTCCCAACTCCTGAGGTAGGGACTCTGATCCTTCTTTGGCCTCCAGGGCCAGAGTCCCTCATGGTCTTCATGATGCTTCAGCACTGTCATGTCCATATGCCCCTCTCCCCCCACTTGACTATGGGGTTCATGAACACTGGGGCTATTTGTACAGCTGGGTCTTTCGTCTCTAGTACCATGCCTGGCACATGGTTGCTGTGAGTGGCAAGTGGTGAGGGATTTTCAAATACTCTTTGCTCCTTAACAGTAGGGGTTGGGGGTGAGGGTGTGTAGAACAGAAGAGTTCTGATGATTCTCAGTTTCTGAGAATTCATGATTTTTACTTCGTGAAGCCAACTCTTATTTTGGGGTTTATCAGGGATGGTGTACAAGTCACTCTCCTACTTGTCAGGAACACTGTGTTCCCTTAAATAAATATTGGTATGTGTCATCAGCAGTGTTTACACCTGGTGCTGAACAGAGGTGCTTGGAAGGATGCAGTCGACTTGCTGATATTCCACGGTGTCATCTTTCAAAGCATATTCTTACCTTTCGAATTGCTGATATTCCACGGTGTCATCTTTCAAAGCGTATTCTTACCTTTCTCTGTAAATGTAATTCAACATTGGTCATTGATCAGATACAATTGTGTGACCTTTGAAACAGAAAGTTTGAAACAGGACATAGCAATGGACTGTTTTCTGGGGCAGCCTGTGCTAGTTTGACAAGGCAGCTTCCAGGTTCTGCTGCTTTGCTGGGGCTGGGGGATAATGTAGGGTGGGGGAGGGAATGAATGACTCTTAGCACTGGGCCCCCAGTTCTGGGTAGCCCTGTCCTATGAGGAGCAAGCTGCCTCCTTGGGCTGCAGTGCCTTGTGTAGGTTGATCTCACTGTGAGGAAGCAGGTCCTTTTGCCTCACCTTACATATGTGTGGGCCTGTGAGCCAGTTACAGGGAAACTTATGAGATCATTAGCTGGGGGCTGTCTAAGCTTTCTTTTCCTCTATATTTAATTTGTTTTAAAATTTAAATTATGAAAGATACAGAAAATAGAAACTAGTGTACTTGCTACCCAGTTGGTCACATTTACTTCACGTCTCACTTTCAGATCCTAACACCTGCTGCTTTTCTTCGGTATGATTGTTGCTACTAACCCATGTTTATAATCATCTCTCTCTTTTTTTTTAAAGATTTATTTATTTATGTATACAAGAGCCGGGGTACAGGCCAGAGATATGAGGGGTGAGAGGATTCACCAGAGACAGAGAGGGGAACAGAACAGGCAGACTTACTGAAATACACTGCTGAGGGGAGCAGTGGACGAGACAGGAGAGGTTGCTCCCTGCCTGGCCAGGGATTGAACTCATGTTGCAGAGGCTGCAAATTGCTTCATAGTGGGTGCTTAACCCCTTGCGCCACCAGGGAGGCTCTACAATCATTTCTCTTGTCCATGATTTTTTTTTTTTAACATTTATCTGGCTACATAAATGTGTTATTAAATAACTTGTTTTGGGCATTAATAAATATCACATAAATGGTAATATAAATGATATCATAATAATGTGTCCTTATTGCATGTTTCTTTTTATTTATTTTTTAAAAAAGATTTATTTATGTATACAAGAACTGGGGTACAGGTCAGAGGTGTGTGTGTGGTGGGGGTGAGAGGATTCACCAGAGACAGTGGGGAACAGAATAGGCAGATTGACTGAAATACACTGCTGAGGGGAACAGCAGGTAAGTCAGGAGAGGTCTGAGCCCCATGTGGGTAGCTCCCTGGCCGAGGATTGAATACGTGCTGCAGTGGCTGGGGATAGCTTCATAGGTTGCGTCTTAATCCCTTGTGCCACCAGGAAGGCCCCAAGTTACTTTTTTTTTTTTAGAGGCTTTTTTTTTTTTTATTTGTTTGTTTGTTTTGTTTATACATGCACTGAGTACAGTCAGAAGCTTGGGAGGGTGAGAGAATTCACCAGAGCCAGAGCGGGGAGCAGAGCAGGCAGAAGGACCGAAGTACACTGCTGAGGGGAGCAGCGGGCGGCAGGAGAGGTCTGCGCGCCATGTGGGACCCTCCTCAGGTGGCTGGGGAGCAGCCGGGGATCGAACCGGCGCCGCAGGGGTCGCCGGCAGCTTTGCAACCCAGCGCTCAACCACTGCGCCACCGGGGAGGCCCCCCCAAGTTACTTTTTAAAGATCACTTTATGTTTTTCAAGATTTGCTATGTTAATGGATGTGTCTGCTGCATAGTTTTCTGTTAAGAAATTAAGTGCTAGAGAGATCACCCTTGAACTTTTCTTTTAGAGTAGACTCCCCAAAGTGAAATTCCAGAGTTTTAGGGTTTTTTTCAACTTGAACTGGGTGGGCCAGTCCTACTCCCGGTTTTTAATTGCATTGACCTACGTGTGCTTTTCAGATGGTAATCTGGGTCTCCATCTCTTGAGACTGATCTTTTGTTACATCTTTCAGATGGCAAGTTCGGTGCCTACATGCAAGTCCACATTGAGAACGATGGGCCTGTGACCATAGAACTGGAATCCCCCGCTCCTGGTGCTGCTACCGCTGAACCCAAGCAGGTAATCTCAGAGTCAAGTGTTGAGTCTGTGCCAGTAACATCTTTTGGTGTGGATTTAGTCATTGGAGCAATGCTCATTCTGAGGTGCAGACAATACTTCATTGTCAGTAACTTGGTATTTATTTTAATGCATCCCTTTCCAAGGATGCATTTATGGTGTATCTCTTCAGTCCTGCTGCAGGTTGGGACAGAAGTCACTTTTGCCTTGTCCTGACTTTGAATTCCAGAGAAAATGTGCTTTGAAGAGCCCTGTTCTTCCTTTGGGCTCCTGTTCCCTGGAAAGGTGCCTTCGCTCCCTTCTGCCGCTGGGTGGCAGCAGAGTAGCGGCACAGCTCTTCACGGGCCCTGGACTGACTTGCTTGGAGTGTTTTTTTCAGATGTACCACTTTGGCTCTTAGTAAATCCTTATTTTTCTAAAGCAGTGTCTGACTGTGTTTGCTGCCAACTCTGTAAACTTTCCAAAAATTTTAATTAAAAAAGAGACAGGAGAGGGGTTGGGAGGGGAAAAAATAGAGAAAGGAAATCAGGCACAGCCCTAGCACACACACTGGTCTCACTTTTGCACTTTAATTAATGCACCCACTTAATAGCCACTGAGACACAGAGGAGCAGGTAAAGGAGTGGGAACTGAAGGGCCATTCCTATTCTTGCCTCTCCCCCTTGCTAGAGTGCTGTGAAGTGAATGAGGCAATAGGCATTGGGGAAGCATTAGATAAATTTAAACCTCTGTGACCTGTTCAAATCCATAATTTTTAAGGGAAATCTAATCTTACTTTTTCTTACCGATTCTTTGGATTTCTAGAGAAGCTGGAACATGTCTGATTCAGTAGTGGTAGTCTTTCAAAGATCATAATTGAGGCTCCTGAAATTACTGATAACATTTTAAAAAAAATCACAAATGAAAAGTCCATATGAAAAATCTAAGCTCTTTATTTTGAAGTAATTTGAGACTCAAAAAAGTTAAAAAAAGAAAAAGAATCAGAATCCCCATATACTCTTTACCAGCATTCCCTAAGTTTCCTGTTTTATGTAATCATAGCACATGCGTTAAAACATTGAAATTAATATTGAGAATAATACTGTTAACTGCACTATAAAACTTATTCAGATTTCACTAGTTATTTTATTAATATCCATTTACCATTTCAGGATAATCTGGAATCCCACTTTGCATTTAATTGTCTTTTCTCCTTAGTCTTCTCCAGTCTGTGATAGTTCCTCCACAGTTTCCTTGTCTTCATGATTTGGACATTTTTCAAGAGTACTGGATGGTCTCACTCATAGCAGGAATTTAGAAAACCTAAATAGAAAACAGGAAAAGACTAATCAATACAAAGTAAAAATCAAAATCAACAAGCAACTATAAACCAGAGACACAGAGGGAGGGGCGGGGAAAGGAAGGACTAGAGTCAAAATAAGGGGGGAGGTGCAATTGTATGGGGAATATAACCGAAATGAAAATGCATACATTGTGCAAAGATGAAAAAAGATGTAAGAATTATATAAAGTAAAATATTTAAATATATGTATATATATATATAAAAGAGTACTGGTCTGCTGTTTGGTAGAATATTCCTCAGCCTAGGCTTTCTATGATTACACTGATGCTGGTTTGTCTTAATACAGGTGATGTTAACTCTGACTGCTTGGTAAATGTGGGGTCTTCCAGGTTTCTCCAAACCCTATTTGGAGTTTCAGCATCTCTCCCTTTTTTGCTTTTTCGCTTTTACATAGCCGACGACTTTCTTCCTGCTTCACAGGGCAAAAGTCATTGGGATGGTATCAGCTTTTCTTTCCCTTTCCTCTTCCCACCATGGTAGTTAGAACCACCCTTCCTGGTGCTGAGCCCAGTACTTTCCCCTGGGACAGGACTGGCGACATAATTTGTGAGGCCTAGTGAAAAATTAATATGAAGCGTCTCCTATTCAAAAATTATTAAGAATTTCAAGATGGTGACAGCAGAACATTAAACCAAGGGCGGGCCCTGTGTGACCATACAGGCACCTGTGAGTCAGGCTGATGTAGGCCGTGGAGCCCTCCTTTCCACTCGTCTCAGCAGCCCCTGCTAAATCTTTTGTCCTCTTGTCAAGTCAGTCTGTCTATTTCACTCTATATCATTCCTATTGGCTTTTAAATATTTCCTAGGGTCTCCACTTGAGAACTAACTCCATCTCTCTACTTCTTGCTAGCTCCTGCATGCACTGTGATCTGCAGAAGCTCTCACCAAGGTGCCCAGGGACCTCCATGATTTTAGGTCCGCCTTCCTTGACCGCTCAGCAGCGCTTGCCACTGTTACTCACCTGTCTGCAATTGGAAGGCATTCAAGGGTCTGAACCAACTTAAACTTTGCTTTCCCAGATGCTTCTCTCCCAGGTTTCCTCTTGCTTCGGGCTACTCTCTTTGGTTTTATTTGTTTGCACACTGTACTTTTATTTACTTTAACTCTGTTTGGAGAAAAATTTTAGAATTTTGTTCTAAATATTTTTCTAGAAGTGGTAGAATTATGTATTATTCTACCACTATCCTAAAGATATTATGCATAACATCTTTAGGATCCTTAACTTTCTTTTAGCTAATACTACCTTATTTAAAATATAAAAGTAAATAGGCGTTTAACTTCTAGCCATGCTAACATTACTATAAATAAAGTCTTTTAGTTCTGAATCTTTTAGAAACTTTTGTTTCAAATCCGTGATTTGTCCTGTGTTTATTTCAGTTACTTGAACTAGTTAATTGACCCCAGAAGACTCAGAACCCTAGAACATTGCACAGATCTCTGTCCTCCAGTAGGTGGCAATGAGTGGGCATAAAAGGGTCCTCATTTTAGTGGGTGCTGGCCTTTGCCTATGGCTCATCTCTGCCTCTTCTCTGCCCCAGTAAGAAGGGGGTTGGTCAAATAGCTAATTTGCTTGCCTTTTTGTTGGTAGGAAGACTGATCTGGTAGGTAGCCAGATCCTTTTAACTGATAAACATTCATTTCTATAACCAAGTTTTAAATTCTAAGGAATTTCTTTCCCAATGATAATCTAACTAATACTGAAAACTGTTCAAATATAGAGGTTCTTTTAGCAAGTTTTAAAATATAAATTCTTTCAACCACGTGAACAAATGAACAGTGTTTGTGATTGTATGCTTGTGTGTACATATCTGTGTATATATAGGACACATATCTTTTTAGTATACCACAATATACTGGGCACTATGAGGAAGGGAAGAGGGGCTGCCACCCATATCCTGCTCCCAGGGGTAGATTTAGCGCAACATAAACCTGGAAGGTTCATGACTGCTTAGTGGTAAAGACCAGTTTATAACAACTTAGCTGACATCACACGGCCATCATTTCATGTCTTCCTTAAAACCCTTCAGTGTCTTCCGAATGCATTTCTATTACAATCCAAGTTCTCTCTTGTCATTTACCACTCCTGAATGCCCACACTTCTCTGACTCTTCCCAGCTTGTTCTGCAGCCATCTGTCCTGCACGCTTCATCTATTCGCACCTTCTCTCCATCTGAGACCAGGTTGAGCTCTTTTCTATCTCTGGGCTCTGATCCCAATGTCACCATCTCCTCCTCAAGGAGATCATCTCCTCTGATCTCCTCTATCCTTGGTAAGCCCCTGCCAACCACTCTGTCATGTTTTTGATGATTATTTCATAGCACTCAGTAGCAGCAGCACAATTACTTAGCTATTATTTGCTTGTTTCCTTGTTCCTCATCTATCCACACCACTTCTAGATTCAAGCTTGCTGACTTTTCTCACTGTGGTGCCCTAGGAGGTAAGCCCAGGTGTGTAGTGTGCTTTGGAATAGTGTTTCTGTGAATGTCCATGAATGTTTTGAGAGCTGAGAAGGCTAATGCCACTACTGTGGCTGCTGAGCTGTACAGGCCTTCTTGGGGACAGTAGATTTTAGTTGACCTGTGAGGATGCAGAGAGGAGGCAGCGTTCTCATTTGTTGTTTCCAAACTTGTAATTAAAATAGAGGTAATTTTTATTTTTAAGAATTCTAGAGCTCTACTAATGGGTGATAGAGCTACTGCTGGAGAAGGCTAGACTGGTAAAGGGAACTAGCAATTTGCCTGCCCTAACTAGCTCTCTGCTTACTTTTGGAACTAGCCACCACAGCCTCTACATGTTTTCTCGTCACTGCATCAGTGGCATGCCCAGTGTGTCTCTAGGCTGCTGTGTGGGCCCCATGGTTCGTTCTGACAGGGCGAAGATGGAAGAAGAGCATTATGTCTTGCTCTGAAGAGCATTACCTCCAACGGGAATAGGCTATGGAAACGGTAGCAGAACTCCCAGGCAGAAGCTGTTTCCTCTATTGCATTTTTGTGGGAGAACATGATTCTGGTTGGAACACCCTAATTGTTACGTAGAGAAGATTGTTAGAGCATGAGTTCTTTTTGTGGGTGGCTAAATACTGGGAGATTTCAGCAATGACTTCAACCATTCCAGGTGGTAGAAACTTGCTCTTGTTTTAGTCTTAACTGCTTTTCCCTTTGTGGGGCTTAATTGCCTGGGTCTCATGTGGATGGGGTTATAAGTGTGGGAGAACAGATGGGGATTTTTCTGGTCAGGAGGGGTATTTTGTAATTGAGCAGCTTTTCCATGGAATCCAGGACCCTCTTAATTCATGGTAGTGTTGTTTATTATTTGTATTCTTAGTTATTTAGTGTGATTGAAAAACCTCACTAATTGAAATGTTAGAAGGAGCTGAGAAAATAAACTTTCAAATACCTGACTTTGAATTAGTTGTCTGTTAGGCCACTGGGGTAAGTTGACCAGTGAAAAATGATGCTAGAGCTTTTGAGTTTATGCTTCCCTGAATATTACCATTGCTTCACCTAAAATTTTCTCCTTATACTTATCAGCAAACACCCATCCCTTTGCCTGGAAACCTTGAAATGTCTAGATTGAGACAGTTATTGAGACAGTTATGACAGTTCTGTGGGATCTGAAAGAAATATGTTGGGTGGGTGGGCAAAGAACTCCATTCAGTTTAA